AGCCACGGATCCATGCACCGTGGATCGAAACCTCTGCACAGCTCAGGAGGTGTGTGGGGCCCAGGGAAGAGGAGTGGAGGGGCCGGTGCCTGGGGAGGGAGGTGAACAGGGTCCGCACAGCCATGTCAGTTGTTTTCATAGGGAGAGAATGGCCGTAGGTAGAGGGGCAGGGAGAGCAGATGGATTCTGAGTGGGATTTAGAAGTGGAGGAACATCACCAGGAACCGAGGCAAAATTTCAGCCTGATAATACTGCATGCATGAACTTGCTTGGCCGTAGCTCATTCTAGTTAAGCCAGGTGATGCCCCACATCACATACCTGTGCTGTGGGCATCCCTGGTGCACACTGGACAGATTCCGGTGACATCTGTGCCTGAGGAAGCCTTGAACATCAGGATCAGGGCATGGAGAATGGGGGAGGTTGAGGGAATGGAGCGTATCAGGGCTTCCTTGGAGCCAGGCCGCTGGGAACTTTGTCAGGAGGGAGGCTGTAAGAAAGCCAAGGGTTTGGTGTCAGCCCATGGCTCAGCAGGTATGCAGGCTGGGGTCGGAGCTGAGTTGCTCTGTGACACTGATGCCATAACGGTGTAATCTGGATCCGTGTCTCATGAAGTTGAAGGTTGAAGTCGAGGATAAAGGAGGTAGACAGGAGGAGTGCTGATTAAGAAGAGAGAAACAGCTCTCGATAGGAGAGGCCCTGGAAGTGGGTTGCCAAAGGATCTTTTTGTCTAGAAGCTTTTATACCAGGACTCAGACTACTCCGAGGGAAACAAAGATCAAGCTACAGGACTAAAACAAGCTTGCTTACACTGGAAATGGGCCCAGGAGGAGTGGAGGCGCACAGCTAGCTTCTGTCCGCAGGTGCCTCTTTGGGACTATCCTAGTCAGGTGGTTTATTAATAGAATAAAGTGAGAAGGAAAAAACGTTTTCCAGATGGGAAGGTTCAGAAGTTGTCATAGAGGGCATCCGCCATCTCTCTTGTTAGCTTGCTTGTTACATCCTTGACTGAATCATCCACCTGGTTTGTGTTAACTCTTGACCTTAGGCTCCTGCTTGTCTGGCCAAGGCCTGCTCATCCTGACTCTGTTTTGGGCCCAGAGCCTCTCTGGCTGCCTGCTGCCTTCCTTTTAGTTTCTCATTGGTACTTCATTGCCAATGATTGGGAGCATTATGGCTTTTAGTGTGTTCTGGTGTATGTTTATCCTGTGCATGATACGGTGCTGTCTTCCGCTAACCCGTGGCTCTGTGATAACACTGGTGGTCACCTAACCTCTCCTACCTGTGCTCACTCCCTGACTGGAGCATTCACATCTGCGCCACTGGCCTCCTCGCACCATCCTCATGATGGCTGTTTGTAGATTCCAGGCTAGGAGTCAGTGCTTTTGGGAAACCTTGCCTGTCACAGACTCATTTGATATTTATGTCTGCAGCTCATTATTGTTCTTCTTGGTACCATAGACCAATGATGGCGAATGTTTTAGAGCTTTCAGTGATATAAACAGCCCGCTACAGCATGTGTGCCATAGGTTCGCCAGCATTGCCATAGACTAATAATAGAGTTGAGAGTTTAAGGTCATCAAAAGTGGGGGTTTGCAGAGGATGTGCTCATTTATTAGACAAATCTGAGTGCCTTCTCTGTGCCCAGCATGGTCCAGGTGTGGGCAGTTCAATAGCAAGCAGCTCAGCAGCTTATAAAACCCCTGTCCTTGTGGAGCTCACATGGTTTGGGGAAAACATCATTAAAAAAAAAAAAAAAAAAAAAAGAAGTAGGCCGGGGATTTAGCTCAGTGGAGCCGCCACCTGCCTCGAAAGCACAAGGTCCTGAGTTCGATCCCCGGTACCAAAAACAAAAGTGAACTCGAATTCAGATGGGGACAGGTGCTTAGTGGAAAAACTGGAGCATGGCTAAAGGCAGGGCCCGTGGCTCCCAGGAGGGTCAGTGTGCTCTTTCTGGGATCTGTTTCCAAGGTCAGAATAACAGGGTTTGCAGAAGGCTTGGATATTTCTGGTCTTTACCGGGAAAAACAGGGATAACTTGAGTGATTTGTAAAATCTGAGCAACAGGAAAGATGTGATTGTTGTTCATTGACAGGGAGAAGAGACAGGAATAGGAAGATAAGGTGATCTGTCTTGGATGTTTTTAGTTTGAGATGCCTGTCAGACACAGAAGATGAGGCGGTGAACAAGCAGTTGGTTATGTGTCAGCGGCATTTTATGTGCCCATAGGCACTAAATATTAGTGTTTTTAGGAAATATTAGGATTTTAGGAAAATTACATAAGGGAAAAGGTGTTGAAACCTTCATGAAACTGATTTAGAGGAAAGCATAGTGTTCTTTGAGAAATTCCATTTGCAGTGCCATGTAGAAAGTATTGTCCAGCTCTGTTTATAAAATTCCCTTTCTAGCAAAATGCATGGTAGGGTTTTCTCCACTGCTGTCATTATATTTGTCTAAAGACTTGTCTCTGGAGCTGCAAAATGGGGATTTCTAGTGCAGCTGCTTCAAAGAAGGGGCGGGAAAGGATGCTCTGGGCTACTGCGCTGTGCAGCTGTGGACAGGAGGGAAGCACCCTCAAACCTGTGCCTGGGGACACAGGAGGGGCAAGGAGAACAGTGGGATTTGAATAAGGTTAGGGCTGTCAGTCAGCTTTCTGTTACCGTAACAGATAACGGAGATAATCAGCCTATACAGAAAAGGTTTATTTTGGCTCAGATTAAGTTCGGAGGTTTCAGCCCATGACTGGTAGGCCCGGTTGCTTGGGCCTGTGGTGGCACAGAGCATCATGGCAGTAGCACGTGGCATGTTCGTGCTGTGGAGTGGCGTAACAGATGGGAAGAGGACGAGACTGCGGCCCCAAAGTCCCCTCAAGGGCACACCGCATGGCCCAGCCTCCTCCCACTGGAGCCTTCCTCTTCAAGTCTCCACACTTCCCCATACACCAGGCTGGCGACCCATCCTTTAACACACAGGCCTTCAGCGGCTATGTAAGAGGCGAACCACACAGCAAGAGCGGTGTGCCATCCCGCAGACTCTGTTCACAGGAAATGGGAACTACGGCAGCTCTGAATTCTTGGCACTAGAACTTTAGTCCTTTTCTCCTTTGCGGCTTCCAGATAGAAAAAGTTCAGAGAAGGAAGCATTAAGATCACCTAGTTCTCATTCTTCTGTATATCCGGAATTTCTCTTTATCTTTTTTGGATGTGTACCATCAGGAACCAGGAGCAAATTCCTTTAGAGGGCTGCAGTGGGGCACTGACAGAATGTGGCCTCAGCACTCCCTGCTGGCAGAACTCCCATCCAAGCGTGTGGCTCGGGCCGCGACCTTTGTGTGTCTGACACAGGCCCGCTTTCCCTCTTAGTGCGTGGATGCTGTTTCTAGGACTAATTGGTAATTAAAGAGCAGAGAAAATGTTCCCTTTCCAAATTGTTTTTCATGTGTTTAATCCCATTAAAGGTGCTGCGAGGCACTTTCTTTTATAGAATATACTTTTAGGGTCATGTAAGTGAGTACATAACAGCGTTTATTAGGCTTGGCTTCTGGAAGTTCATTAAAAAAAGAGAACAAGTATCTTTAATAAATATCGAGTAATTTAATAAGTTCAAGTCATGAAATAATATTTTGGTTTGCTCTTGGCTAATTACTTTTTTAAAAAGTCAGGAAGGAGGGAGAAATGAGGAATGAAAAGGACCTTCAAAGCAGTAAATAGGCTGAAAGAGAGGGCTGAAGGGAGAAAAGGAGAAAGAAAAGGTAGACGATTTATCATGCCTGTAGACATGTTAGCTTTTATTTCCTGCTCTGCATGTACATGTGGTGACTGAAGTTTATGGAAATTGAGTATTTGGGTCCAGATCACAGAGAGGAGAGGTAGGATTATATTCTAGAGTTCTGGACTCACGATCTGGTGTTCTTCCTTTATTACCACATTGAGAGAACACTATTGAAAGAACTTCTCAAATTCTTGGGAAAAAAACCTGCATCAATAACAATAAACAAAACATGGAACTCTCCAGTAAACCCTTGTGTAAGAGTCTGTTGCTGTCTAGAATGGTGCTGTGAGCTGTGACATGGGTAGTGACTATCTCTATTTTTTCTATATCTCTCAAGCTGATGGCTTTCTGTGTTTGGAATTGCACATGACTGAGGTATATTGAGTTTTTGTTGAATTGCATTCTAGATCTCTGCAACATATTCTGGCCTCTGACTTGTTTAAGATTTCATTCATTCAGCAGCTGTGTGTTGCATATCTATCGCACTCAGACACTGTGTTAGATAATGAGATTTCCAAGTGGTATGTGAGTAGTCACTGCTCTGAGTGGGTTATAGGTCATTGGGGCGGAAGTGTAATGAGAAATGTTGTAGAAAGGGTTGTGGAAGGAGATGGGAAGAAGAGACCAACTCTGGAAAGAAAGACAGCTGAGCAGGATGGATTGAGGAACGCGTTGGGCAGTGGTCTGGAATTGTTGACTAAACCCTCCCCAGGGATAAATTAAAATGATTGAAAAAACTCCAGTCTGATAAGATGCCTGTTGATTCCATCTAGAAGGACTTGCTGGAAAATACTAGACAAGGATCTGCTGGAAGGGAAGGTCTCGGGTATTCAGGAGTTGTCTCAGACATGTCTCAGAAACTCATCTATGTTGAGGCTGGGCTGGCTAGGTGACAGCCTTGTGGAATCTTCTTGGGGAAGGGTGGGAGAAAGAGGTGAGCTGACCTGTTCCTTTTATGATCAAGTGAATCGGAATTCCTAGAGTGGGTCCGGGAGGGGTCCTGTGCTTTGCCTTTGGCATGGACACCCGGCAGTGTGTGCTCTCGCCTTGGGGTGCTACAGAAAATCTCTCTCCCAAACCTGTTCTTGCTTAGCGTGTGTGTTTACTTCCAAATCTTTCAATTTTTTTTTTTTTTTTTTTGGTACCTGGGATCGAACTCGGGTCCTTGTGCTTGCACAGCAGACGGTGAAACCACTGAAATCCCCGGCCCAAATCTTTCAATTTTTAACAGGTGGCTAAATCCCTTGTTTAAGATTGGCCATAAACGGAGGTTGGAAGAAGATGACATGTACTCAGTGCTCCCACAAGATTCCTCCAATTACCTCGGAGAAGAGCTGCAAGGGTAAGTGCGAGGCAGGAGAGAGGTGGGTAAGAACCTGAACTCCCCTCGTGTGGCTGCTGGTGTAGCTCCTGAACCCTTGGCTTCCATCTGTCCCTGTCCCTCTGGAGCCTGATTCCCTCCACACTCCACCTTCCCTCAGGCTGTCCCTGGGCCGGCTCATCTTGGTGGCCTGGGGACGAGTTTCCAGTGCCTCTGTAGAAGTGGAGGGGCTGGTGCCGAAGAGCTTGGATGCCTGAGGTTTGTCGAGTGGTGATCTCAGCAGGCAGTGTCTGGATGGTTTCTGTCAGATCTGCCTTCTCAGGCTGCTAAGGGTGCTGTGGGTCCAGTAAAGCTAGGTAGGGAGTGTATTCCCAGTCCTTTTTCCTGTGAGGCCAATTTTGGGGGTGCCACAGATTGTCACCCATCTTTCAGGAGCCCTGTGGACAATTAGCCTGCATTTGTGGGACAGCCTCAGAATGCCCTGTAATAAATGCTTATCTGTCCGTCGTCCACCTACCCCATGTTCCCCTATGGCATCGTATTCTCTTCTTGACCCCGCTTTTGTCTCATTGTAGGTATTGGGACAGAGAAGTTTTAAGAGCCGAGGAGGATGCACGCAAGCCTTCTTTAACAAAGTCAATCATAAAGTGTTACTGGAAATCTTACCTAATTTTGGGAATTTTTACATTAGTCGAGGTAAATGTTTTTATACATAGTCGATATGTTTTACAGTGCACATGAAATGGACAGGTGAGCTACTGATCAGTATTGAAATGGACGTGACCATTCGGAGGAAGAGGCCAGATGGATTTGCAGGTGTGGTGAGGCTGGAGGATAAAACACGTCTAGGAAGCATGCTGTATTCAGCAGCTGTGTTTGCCTTTGGAAGGGATAAATACTTAAGAGACTGAAGCTCAAGGGCATTATTACTTTTTCTTTTAACATATTAAAGTGTAACGTCGTGGAAGGATGGCACTGTTTTATACCATGCTGTGACAGTGAGTAAACTTTATAAATGTTGAGTCAGCCTGGGTCACAGAGAATCCGATAGCCCTGGGGAGATCTACCTTGTGGTTTGGAGAAAGTAAATTTGGATTAGGGTCAGCAATTACAGAAGTTGTCTTAGCTTTGCTCAGCAAATAACTGCTAACCTAATCATGTCAAATCTGATACAGACTTCTCCTGGAAGGTATTGTGTCACCTCTTCCTTCCTCGGTAAGCAGTACTTAAAGTCCTGTCCCTGGGCTGGCTGTGGTGCCCTAGGAGCCAGAGCTGGGCAGAGCTTCAGCAAGGTGCTTTGTGGGCCAGCACGGAGACCCCAGGTCCTGTACACACAGGAGGTCCGGCTTTCCTGTGAATTTCCATGAATTTGGGCACTGCCCATCCCATCCTGGCTTCTAGTCCTCCTTGTTGGGGTGGATTGCTGTTTGGAAGTGGGGTTTCAGTAGCGTAGCATTGCAGAGAGTATCGAAGTGGACATTTAGGGGAAAACAGAAAGCGGACAGGGCAGTGACTTCTGTTATCCTGAAGGGCTTCCTTGGGGTCCTCCAGTGAGATGTTGTTCTGCCCGGGTTGCCTATCCTGGCCTGCAGGAGGGGATACTGAACATTTAGTCAGGTGGCTTGTGCTCTCAGTGGTATCTTACAGCTGCTTTAGGGACTTTGGGGTCCTGTGAGGGTAGGAAGGGAAGAAGGTGCAGTTTTACAAAAGGGTGGCTTTGGAAGTGGGATTTGGAGAGGTGTCCCAAGTGCATCTGGAGGAATGAGGCTGGTGGGCCAGCTGATCTGAAGCGAGATGGGAGATGTGGCTTCTACTTAACATATTTTGTGAGTGGAGAAGGGCATTGCTGCAGGGGGAGGTGGATAACCAGCTCAGCTCAATGCAGCTGGAGAAAACCAAGGGGAAGTGACAGAGAGTGGCCACCTGTATATCCCTGGAGATTGATGTGTTCACTGGTGACAAAGGTGTGCTGGCCAGTGTGCCAGAAGGTGAGTGCCACCTTTGAGAGGCCACTTGCCCCCACCCGGAGGCTGCCTTGGCTTTGTGCTGGGCAGGCTGGAGGTGGAAACAGTGGGCCTGGCAGGGGCTGGGAGTGAATGCAGGAGTCCCTGAGGCTCCCCTGCCCATCTCTGACCTGTGCCGCATTTCTGTGTGGCCATAGGGAATCTCAGTTTGGAATAAGTGGAGCAGCAAGCTGGTGTCTTCGTAGCCTGCATATGTACAGTTTCCTGGACAAATTAGAACAAGCAGCCCAGTGAGCAGAGGTCTCTGGGATTCTGTAGGTCAGAGCCCCAGAGCCGCAGGATGTGCCTGAGGCCCACAGCAGATGTCTGGTGAGGAGCGCAGGGCTTTAGGCTGGCTTCACATAGGTGTTGGCTTGCCTCGTGGAGCAAGCTTGCCCCTCCTGCCACTTCCTAGTTACCCTTCATGCTTAAGAAATGCAAGACTATGAGGTTGCATTTGGACTGAGGTTCCTGCTGTCCTGTTGTCACAGGCTGCTCGCTCCTTGGGTGAGATCACTAAGCCTAGATGGTGGCCAGGTCCCGTTTCAGATTGACTGCAGTCCTCCTGGGAAAGCTGTCGTGAGATGCAGGCACAGAGGCAGAGGCTGGGTGAGAGAGGTGCCAGGAGCTCTGCTGTCACACTTGTTACTGTTAGGTGGTGGGCGTGGCGACTCCCAGGAACGCCAGGCCTGGGGAGAGCTTAATTTGGTGTCTCTCTTTTGGGAGGTTGGCCATTGGTCAGTCATGGCAGAAGAGTGGAGAAGTGTGTACCTGGCAAACAAGGGGTTCATACTCAGTGGTAGCAGCAGCAGCAGCAGCAAAGGAGGCTTATATGCAGGAGTAGTAGCAGCATCCCTCAGTAGTAGTAGTAGTAGTAGTAGTAGTAGTAGTAGTAATAGTAGCAGTACAGAGTGGTAGTACTCCTCAGCAGCAGCTGTGATATGATTCATCAGTGGTAGTAGCAGCACTAGAAGTAGCTACAATACCAGTATTAGGCTTATACCTAGGAGTAATAGTATTCTTCAGTAGTACTAGTACTCAGCAGTAGCGGTAGTAGTATTTATCAGTAGTACTATTTATTAGCAGCAGCAGTATTAGAGACCTACACTCAGTAGTATTAACTACATAGTATGAGTATTTTTAGTAATAACAGTGAGTGCTTGAATAACACTGCATAACAGGAGCTGCTCTGAACACTCTATTACTTTTATTGCTTGGGCTGATTGGTGAGGTGGGAGGTATTATTATTCCTACTTTCAAGAGGACCCTGAGTGCCACGGTGGTACATAGTGTGCCTGGGGCACCCAGAGGGTCAGTGATGTCAGTTTCGGTGGCAGGCGCTGTGACTTAGGAGCCCAGGGTCAGGAAGCACGGCTGGGGGACTTTGTCCTCAGGCTGTGCAGTGCCTGTTTCTCCAGTCTGGACTGAGGGTAATGAGGCAGATGCTGAGAGCTCCCTGGAGTGCTGGAGCTTGGCTGCTGGAAGTCAGATGAGAGATTGCCACTTAGGGAAGAGCCAGGCTGCCACAGCCCCTGGGGCCAGAAAGCTACAGGCCATGTGGGAAAGCAGCCAAGGAGTGGCTGCCTTGCTGAGCCTACCTCTCAATATTAGGCCGAGAAGACCCCATTTCAGCTCAGCGACTTGACCAGGGGAGGACGTGGTCTTGGATGGCAGCGGGACTCTGATGGTCCAGCAGAGGCGAGTGCTCTTCTTTCCTGAGCCTATGGCCAGTGTTGTGGCGTGGGTGTGCATTTGCCTGGCAGGGAGGAGGATCCCAGGTTGACCACTGCCGTGGCAGCTTCTCTGTTTCGGTGTCTGACTCCTGCTTACAGGGCAGGCCTTAGGGTTAGGGTGGCAGGCAGGGTGGACTCAGTACCGGTGGCCCGCGCTTTTCCCAGGAGAGCACTTACTGTATTGTATTCACGCTGGATTCAGACCTCTAAAATTAGACAGTCACTGGTTATTTCCAGGTGAGCTTGGTGACCAGCATTTACTCATTTGATCCTTGTGTCATTAACATAATTAATGGTCAGACTTTTTGTTCCAGTGCTGTGAAGTTCAGGGAGTGAAGGTCATCGGAGCTCAGCTAGTAAACCTTTATTTACTTCTTTTTGCTGCCAGCGAAAAGAAGCCTGAATTCTAATACAAATACAAGTTTCTGGAGACTTGCCTGTTAACAGTCTGCTGTTTTGGAGATGTCAGAGAGAAATAATTTCTTATGGAGAACCTAGTAAGGATCCTGTTACAGTCAGAAATCATTCTCAGGTGCTGTTTTGGGTTTTCAGTCGTTGAATCTAGGTACCAAGTCAAACAGAATGAATGGTAGTTTAATAATTGGTGTTTTTTTTTTTTGGTACCGGGGATCGAACTTGGGTCCTTGCGCTTGTGCGGCAGGTGGCGAAACCACTGAGCTAAATCCCCGGCCCTAATAATTGGTTTTATGAAGTGGCTTCTCAGTCATCTTGTATCTGCTGCTTGTTGATCTTTGAGTTTTAGATGGTGGAAGATCTAAACACAACCTGGCATCATGCAGAAAGCCGGCATGTTTCCCTCTTGACATCTGTGCCTTTTTTGGGGGGGGTACGGGGATCGAACTCTGAATCTTGCGCTTTTGAGGCAGGCGGTGGAACCACTGAGCTAAATCCCCGGCCCCCGCTCTGTGCCCTTTTTTCAGCGTTTTGCAGTATTGGAGGTTGAATCCTGGTCCTCACTCAGGGTTGGCACTCATCCTGATACTGAGCTCCACCTCCAGCCTCTCGGGGCTTTCAAATAATAAAATAATCACAGCTCACTCTCATTTCTGTGCCGTGGTGCTGAGCATATTGTTCAGCTGTCCCGCACGGGGCTCCTCTGTGGTAGAATGATGTCTATAGCTGTGAACATCTAGGCCCAAGAGGGGACAGGCCAGGCTTGCAAGCAGCAGACCTGATTTCTGATGCAAAATGTGCTGATGTCCAGATCCACACTCCTGCCTTGTGCAGCCCTGGCTCAGTGTGAGGAGCCGGGTTTATTGTCCCACCCTGCAGAGCTTCTTGGGCAGCTGCTTGGTACGAGGGCCACACCTTGTGTGGTGTTTTCTTTGTTAGGTTTTAAAGAACATTTTCAAAGCACAAGAACAGATTAAGCTCTTCTCTGCCCCTAAGCCAGCTTCGGTAATTACCAGCTCAAGACCAGGCTTGAGTCATCTGAAGCCCTGCTCATGCCAATTTGAAGCTGTTCCCAGAATCCCATCATAGTACGTATGAACGCTGTAGGTGTAACTTTAAAGGATGGTCTTCCAGGGCTGGGGATTTAGCTCAGTGGTTTCAGTGCCTGCTGCGCAAGCACAAGGACCCAAGTTCGATCCCCGGTACCAAAAAAAAAAGATGGTCTTCCCCTAAAAAGTCATAATAAGCACATAAAAACTAATACTTAAATATCATTAATATCTATCCAACGCTCACCTTTTTTCAGAACTGAGAGACACAGAGAGAGACAGAGAGAGACAGAGAGAGACAGAGACAGAGAGAGAGAGACAGGGGCAGAGAGATTCAGAGAGAGATGGACTCTGATTTAGACTTGACGTGTTGCCCATGCTGACCTTGAACTCCCAGGGCTCGAAGCACTGTCTTGCTTCAGCCTCCTGAATAGCTGGGACTGTAGGCATTCATCAATGTGCCCAGCTTTTATGTACTTTGTTTATTACTTTTCATT